TCAGACGGAAGGAGAGAGGGGCCGTCAGGGAAGATTACTGCTGGTTTACAGATGGGGGACTCCAGCCTAGAGAGCTGAAATTTTTACTCAAGGTCGGACAAGAACTGTGAGCACACATGGATCTAAAAAGTTCATTGATTCCTTATTCAGTGCTTTTAACCCAAAGCTGTTGCTGCTTTTCCAAAGCTTTCCAAATGCAGCCTGCGGATGACATGAAATAGTCTGAGTTGAGGAGATGCTGCCATAAAGAACGGGTGCCCAACTGGAAAAGGCTAGTGGTGGTAATTCTCTGAAAAATGGAGCTGCAGCTTTTTCTTCCATTTCCCCTCTTACCAGCCCACCATCGAGCTTTGTTGTGATTGCCTTGAAGGCGCACCCAGATCCTGCTGTCGGAATGCCACTCCTCCCTCTCCTCCCTCCTGGAAAGCCAGGCTACACAGCCCCTGCAGAGCCAAAGAAATGCTTCCCCTGGCCGGAGAGCCGCAGTGAATTTTAAGCAGGGCTTTCTCTCCCAACAAATTGCCTAATAAAAGGGCAAGTATTAATCACATGTCTGGAAAAAGTTTGTTTTGATCTCTGTGTCTGCTATTCCAGCTTTAAAGAACAGAGCCTTTTCTCAAATACTTTCCTGGTAATAGAATTGGGATATAATTCCTAGAAGACAAATCTTGGCAGGTATGAAGTGTATAATATCTATCCTTGATTGAACTTGCAGCCTAGCCTAATACTTCCCACATTTTCCTGTTTTCAAAGTGAGTTTGATCTTGTACTGAAGGAAATGATTCTCTTTACTTGAGCCCCCTCAAATATTTCACAGCAAGAAGGGTGTGATTCATTACTTAGGGAGCCCTCATTACATGCAGTTGTGGGATACTCATCTTTTTCCTTTATCTACTCTGCTGGAAAACTTGGATACCTTGTTTTACTAAACAAAATCAAGGTCAGGGATGTTAAAAACAAATAGATCGGCTTATTGAACTTGATAGTATAATCATTTTCTTGTTGCTAGCTTTAGCTTTTCTTTGCTGAAATAAGATTAGCAGAGATTACAGCTATTTATTTTGGAGGTGTAGCATTCTGGACAGGGAAGCTGTGAAGGGATTGCTTTAAATGGGTCTTCATATTTTAAGAATTTGCAAACCCTCATTTCTTTTGAGGGTTATTTGTTTCTGTAACTGTTACTCTTGCCTGCAATTACTCTTTTCCAAGATAATACTTGGTGGAAACACCTTGAGTATCTTCTTTATTTCCATGTTGCATGTTCCTCTATTAAAGCAATGATGTTTTTTCTGATGTAAGCTCATGCAAATGAGATCAGAATTTTTCACTCCCTCTGTAAGTGATGGTTTGTCGAAGGATTCTTTTAATACTCACTTTGTGAAAGGAGTAAGTGCTAACCTTCATTTACCTTTATTAAATACAGATAGGCCCTAGTAAAGGACCTAGTAAAGCACTAAGCCATGCACTTAAGTACCTTCCTATTCAGTAAAACACTTAAGTGTGTTAGCTCAGTATGTGTTTAAAATGCTTTGTCGAACCAGTGTCAGAAGACCGTGGCACATCCATCCCAGCACTAGTGGTACTGGAGGAACCCAGTGGGCTGAAGAGACCCACCTGAGTGGGTAACTGAGTATTAGTAACATCTCAGTGCTCTGTGTTTTAAGGTCAGTTGTTCACTTTTCAGGACTGTATCAGGTTTACATGGCAATGTCTTGGTAGCACAGGATGGAATTTCTATGCTTGTTAGGCTTCATAAGGCTCCCACATCTCTCTTCTATCTCTCCGCTCTCACAGTTATTAGTTTGAAACAGTAGCCAGGTCTGGATTTCCCAACGTTTCTTGTATCCCTGATTGCAGATCAATAACATTTCACTTTCCTTGACAAGTGTAAAAGAGTCACAAGACCTTAAAGCTAAAATCTAGGAAGTGCAAACACGTGATGTTCCTACATCAAGTCTCGCGCACAAACCTCACGTAAAGCTTCCATCTGCTTTGCAGATAGTGCTTGTCTACACTTTGCATTGCATCTTCTTCGTGACCACAGCTGAAAGGAGATGAAAGTCCTCCAGCTTTTCACTTCTTTGTTAGGATTTTGTAATATTTCTTCAGATGTCACCGGCACATGTGGGAGCGGCTCTGCCCTGTAATTCCAGAGCTCCTCGACTAGAGGTCAGTAACACATCAAAGAATGTCAGACAGAAAATCATAAGCTGTGGCGCATTGGCCATCACTAGACATTTTATTTTGCATTTGCAATGAAGACTTGTGATATGGTTAATCAGCAGCAGCTATAAGTCACTGAGATATGTGGCCAGGGTAGTGGAATGCTTCTATTGTCTTTTTTTTTTTTTGTATTAGAAGCATGTTGGAAGTAGTGCTTCCAAATTTTAAACGATAAGAAAAATGATCACCCTTTTAATATCATTTGTTCTTACACAGTAAGTTACACATTTTCATGTGATACGTAGTTTAGAAAAAATCCGATTTCTAGGAATTTTTACTGCTAAATCTTTATAGAATCTCTTCAGTTGCATTGGTGTTTTCTTCACCCAGTGCTAGCTAATGTGCTTGGAAGAAAAGATCGGTGTGTGAAGCAGAGGTAGGTAGAAGTAGATTACTTTACAAATAGGCTGAGAGTCCTATTTGTCATGTCCTTACAACTTCATAGAGTATAGAACAGATCAGTCACTTGTTAATGAAGGGTAAGTTTACGAATGCTTAAAGGTAAAATAGAGATTTTTTTTTTTGCTTGTTTGTTTGTTTCAATTTACTTTAAAAATAACCCTTATTGTTCCATCCTTTTTTTTTCCTGCTAAACTGTTCCTGCCCGGTGATAGAGGAATCTGTCATCTGGACAATTAAAAAACAATTTATGGAGCAGCTCTTTCTCTTCCAGACGCATTTCTTTAAAGGATGTCTTGAACTGTGCTGCTATTTTAGTAGCAAGTTGTTCAAATACATACTCTGAATCATTCCTCCACAGAAGCAGGCACAAAGGATTCTGTTTGTATTCTTTGAGTGTGTCCTACCCTGAAAATACTCATTTCCTTTATCATGACTAATGCCATTACTGAGTGGTTTTGCTGAGACACTTAGTTCAGCTGTGTTCATGACCATGATTAGTGCATTTGTCTCCAGCTAAAATGCTGATTCTTATTTGAATGCTGCACTCCTAAGAGCTGTGCTCTAACTCTGTATGAAGCAGAAATTGCTGTTTCCCAGCAGTCTTGTCTCAGCTAAGTTGATTCCCCCCCTGCCCCAACCTCTGCAAAAAGAAACCTAGGCCAAGGCATTTTGACGGTCTTAACAGCGCAAGTCCTGGTTCCTTCCCTCACACCAGTTTCACACTTGCAAGCTACATTGTGATTTATGCCAGAGTTAGAAAGAGTGGAACCAGACGTAGTAATTCTAAAATGTAAAATATTAGCAACAATTATAATGAATGGTGTAATTCTAATGAATAGAATATCAAGATGAGAGATGCAAGCCTTTCTCAACGTAATGGCAACCAAGAGTGACAGGCCTGCCGTCAGTCCAGACCCAAGACTTCACTGAGCTCGTTTGACTCCAAAAATCTCTTACTGAAATATAAGAGTAAAGGCGGTTGTGCTATCTAACAGAGGTTTCTCATAAACTTGGCTCAAAACTGAGCCAAATATTTAATTTCAGCTGGGTTCTGTGCCGTGGCTCTGCGTTTTTTTCTTTCCTCCCCGCTTCAAATTCAGGAGAAGCATAAGAAAGAATAAAACAAATTCTCCGAGATGTGTTTTCTCACTGCTGATTCTGTACAGACAACTTCATAGGGAACCTGTTGTATAGGAGGAATATAAATCCTGTTTGCATTAAGAAACTCTTGGTATGATTTGAACTGAAAACTTAAAGCTATAAAAGTGGTCAGTGGGGCTCCTGTTGTGAGCTGCAGACACAGGAGACCTCTTGTGCTGGAGCAGCAAAATGCATTAGTCTAAAAGTGGCTGGTTTTAAGAAATGATTATGCCTTGGAAATGTTATGATGGGCAGGACAGCAGAGATGAGTTTGAGGGTTGGTATTTAGTTTTGTAAGGATATTATTAACAATAGTTACAGTTGGAATTGGAATCAGGCTGAAAAGTAGTGTCCTTCAGTTCTCTTCTCCAGGCAGTCTTCAGGCTGCACAGCAGCTTAGCTCTTGTGGCCAACTTGCACTTTCATGATTACTACCTTATGGTTAGTAACCCTGGCCCATTTGGTGTCATACCAGCATCTCCCTGTTTAGCACCAGCAAGGCAAAACAATCTTCATAGAGAGCAGCACTGAGGCGAGCTCAAACAGTACAGCTGCTTTTAAAAGCCCAGTGCAGTCATCTCTCAGGGTATGGCATCTCTTTCTTGAGCTCGTACACTGCCAAAGCATGCCACTCCAGCCTGCCAGCTCCAGAAGTGAATGGTGACAGGCCGTCATCATCTGTTATCCCCTGTCATTCCATTGGGTTTAAAATGGAAACCCAAGCTTGTGCGGTAGAAACTCATTTCATGCATTTGATCACTGAATGAGGAGGGGAAACAGAATGTAATAGGAACTCTGGGGTTTTTTTAACCTCTTTCATAAAGTAAATCAAGTTCTCTGCTGGTGTGACTGCATGAAAGCTGCTGGGATTAGCAGACTGGCATTGTTTCACTCAAATGGCAAAGGTAGATTTCTAGTTTAAGTGGTGCCACACGGTTTTTTTACTAGAAAATGTTCAGTGTTTCTAATCTCCCATTCTCAGTTGGGTCTAGAGACTCTAACTGGATAAGGGCCCAGTTGGGCTAGACACCGTGCAAACCATTGCAGGGGGGAGGTTTTGTGCTGCGGCTGAGCTGGCTGCCAGTAGCAGGCATGGTCCCACCTCCCTGCTGCTGTTCACAGCTGGCTGGCTCTGCCCTCCCCCTTCTCTTGGTGCGCGTCTGATTCCCTGGGAGCTGGTTCAGCTTGATAACCCAACAAAAACCACTTTTTTTTTTCCCCTTCTGTTGATATAGCTCACCAAGAAGTTAGAGGAGTGCCAGAGCGCAAAGGACCGTGTGACCTAAGATGCAGCTCCTGCCTTGCAGAACTTCACACCTACATGAAGACAACAGATGAAAGCAATGCAATTACCATTCCAATGTATCTGAACTTTTCAAGTGGCTTTGCAAGGAGTGCAGTAGTTGTATGGAGGCAGTAGTGCAATTAGGGGCTGTGCATTAGTACGTTGTTGCAAGGGGTGAAGGTGGTAGTCTGGCCTGATTCTGGAAGGCGATGAGCACCAGGTAGGAACTGGATGAGCTGAGCTCATGTCATGAACAGCAGTTTAACAAGTAGTGAAACTAGGGGGATATGATACTATCACTTTCCAAACTGGGCAATCTCAAGATCCTAAACCACAAACCACTTTTTTGTCAGATACAAAAGACCATTTAAACGCTGCTACTTAAGCATCATACTGGTGACTTGGATAATGACTGAAAAAACATTAATAATCTTCGCTCTGAGATGTTGTTTTATCCGATGTTCTTCTGAAGATTAATTTTTGTACAGTGTAGTTTTTACCATTATGGATCTCTAGTCTTATCAGAAAATGATAAAGTAGTACAATATCAACAAGCAACTAAAGCAATGTTTGTTTTAGGGTGAATGGGTTGTTCCAGTGCCAGGTGAAATCTGTAGGTGAATTGCAGTTGACTTTAAAGGGTTGGAACTTAGCAGATTTCTCCTCTTCCCTGAAACTCTCCAATCTACTGATACTGATAGTCTAGTGTCTTGGACTAACAAAAAAGGTTTTTTAGCTACGTGGTGGTACGCTTGCACAGAAAGCCCAGCTCTAGTCCTATTATTGTCTTCTCTCCATAGTGTTATTTTTGTTATTGTTTATAGCTTGTGAAAACAGGTTTATCGCCAGTGAGAAAGCAAAGAGGGAAACTCTCTCTGTGACAATTTTCATACATCTGGTATCATTATTAATATTTTATATTATTAATAATAAATAGCAGTTTTATAGGAATGGTTTCCTTTTATGGGCGATGGCGGGACAGCTGTCTAGTTTGTAATTTTATAATTTGTCCTGCAGGCAATTTTGTGCTTATGGCATATTGACTTCAGTAGGGAATTCTGCTTAAAACCTGATGGCACAACAGATAACTCTGTATTTCCATGAAGGCAGGTGTAGGCATTTGTGTTTCCACTGCCAGTCTCTAGGTACCTCTTTGGAGAGGCTTTGGAGGAAGAAATCAGTGGGCTTTCCATGTGTGTCCTGCACGCAAAAGGTGAACTTGCTAGGAATGGTTACACTGATCCGTGGTGTGAGATGGTTGAAAAGTTACCTCTCCTCCCCTTAAGAATTGTTTTAATCTCTTCAGATCCCTTGGGGGCTTTGCCATTAGGAAAGGATCACAACTTCCACGTGTGCTACTGAAATTGCAGCAAAGCCTCAAAGTACAAAGTCATCTTTTTAGGTCTCTAACCCCGTCAGTAGTCCTTTGTGGGACTCGTGGCGTAGGGATTACTCCCTCTATCTGAAGGACACCCTGGTTCATCTAAGTGATCGCCTCAGCCCCAAAGAACAGCTCATAACACTGAGAATGGTTGATTGCATTTAGCAGAGCTCTCCAGTTCTTGTGAGCTGAGCTAAGCTCCTGTCTAGCAGGTGAATCGGAAAGCCTGAAAGCAGTAAGTATCTGGAACAGTTATTACCTTCCTCTAACAAGCTCCTGACTGGCAAGTTGGGTTTAATACTTCTAACATTAATGGCAAAAATGCTGCAACCTACTGACTAGTTCTCAGACACAAACCAGATACCAGGGATCCAGCGTACAAAGTCTTAACCCCCAAGGCTATTGCCTCGTTTTTTCACTCTTTCAAATAACCTTGCCTCTCATAAATCTGTTGCTCATTTAAAGCAAACTTTCTGCTTGCATCAGAAATTACTTCCAGCGTTGGATATGAAGCGTTCTGCAATATGTTATAAAATGAGGGCTGGATTCACTGCTTAAATAAAGAAAGCCAGTTTTCTTCAAACGGATCATTTATTGCTACCTTCATGCTGTATATTTATTGTGAGGATATTGTCACATTTCTTTCAGTTTTGAAAATGTAAGTTGGATTTTCTCTTTCAGGTTGCCATCTGGTGTATTGCGAACAGTCTCAGAGAGTAAGAGGCCATCTGTTAATACTTTTTCAGGAAGCTTTTTATAGAGCAGTGAAGTGGCAAATCTCAAAAACACGTTGTAATGACTTACAAGATCTTGGGTATGTGTACAAGTAAAGGCTGATATTTTATTCCTATCAACAATATAGTTATCAAGCTGGGAAGGAAAGGAAGAGAAGAAAGAGAACTTGCACACAAATGCACATGCATTTTAATGGCTCTAGTGCATATATTACTTTTTCTATTTTTACATAAAATGTAAAGTGAGTTTCTGAAGCTCTGATTCAGTTTATGCTTTAGCAAGACTGATTGCCTCTTTGAGACACTGTTTCCTTCTTTAACCATTAATAGAAATCAAGTGACCCAGGATTTTACCTAATAATACTAAAAATGTAGCTTGCGTTACCATAGCATGTGATTTTACATCTCCAGTGGCTGCTCTACCTAAGATGCTGATATGTCTACTGCAAGATGGCTGCCATGTAGGAAGGCCTTCAATTCAGACCTGCTTTTAGTGACAACAACCTCAAGTTCAATATCTGGTGTATTCCTAAGGCAGAATGTTAGTTCCACATTCAGCTCCACAAGCAGAGAGATTTTCACCCCAAATTTGATATGCTCACTCGGTCATTAATGGTAGCAGTAGAGGATATGACTGACAGAAGTGTTGCCTGATCAACCATGGAAGTATTCTGATTGTTGTGGAACAAAAAAGATTGGGAAGGAGCTAGGTATGAGAATCACCAACTAAATGTGTGCAATGAAGCTCGCTGCAGGAGTAGTTGGCATTAACCTGGCCCCTCTCTATGTCTGACAGAGCACGCCTTTTTTTTCTGCCCATGGCTGTATTGTGCAAGAAGAGGACGCAAGTAAACCCTTGTAAGGTGCCATGATGCTGGTGACAGTTTAAAAAAAGATTGTGCTGATGATTGGTGCTGTCATTTTATGGTAACATAAAGTGAAGGCCTGAGGAAGAGAAGAGATGACCTCTGTGAGGTTATCCATGAGGTCTCTGGTACAACTAGGAGTAAGTGCTGGGTTTCCTGAGAGCCTCTCTGTGGGCTGTGTATGCTGAGCCATTTTTTTCCACTTGCATTGACTTCCTCATAACTTTATGGTCCAGCAGAAGCAAAAAGAGTTATGTCATGTGCCTGCTGTGTGCAGTGCTGAGGTTATCTCAACTCTCTTCTGGCCTGTCTGAGAGAAGACACTTGCTTCTTTCAGGATCAGGCCCTTTGAAAGCACTCAGAGAAGCATCAGATGACTGATTTCTTTAAGTCTGACATGCTGAGGAAGAATGACAAGCGCTGATCATCTGGGCAGGTGACTGTAGTTTTGCTACCACAAAAAGATGTGATCAGGCGTGTTTTGTTGAGTGCATTATCTGAAATGCCCCAGTCAAGCACATTTTTCTGTATTTTAATGCTGTATTAATTCCCTGTGCTTTGTGTTCTGCACATACAAGATTCTGTGGTGATGTTCTTGGGCATCCCTCTGCAGAACCAGTCCTGCTTCAACGAAGAGTAATAGTAAAATCTTTTTCTCTTCAGTGGTTCCAAATTTGATAGTGAGACATCAAAAATATCATCCAGGTAATAAATGCTGCAAGGTCATGTAAACCTGTAGTAAGGGCTGTTCAGACTGGCATTGTGCTTAAATATTATCATCATTTAAACAAAACTAGGCAGCTGTAAAAGCAAAGGCAGCATGAACATCACCGTAAAATTAAGCCCACTAGCTAGCAGTGAGAGAATCTGAAGCCTGTATGTTGGAAGAGTTTTAAAAGTAAATGCAGGTTAGTTTTTCAGTGCTAACAACCCTTGGAAATAGAGAAGTGAGCCCAGCTGTGTTCAATATAATGCGAGTCAGCTCTGCATAATGGTATCTAGCAGTGGTCAGAGTATCTTCTAAAAGTTTTATTTATAAAAAAGGTCTTTTCCAAATTATTTTTAGAGGCATTCTCTTTTATTGAATGAAAGAATCTTTGTCTTGTTCCCACATTTTTCATGTAAAAGGAAGATAAAGAATGAACGATAGAAATTGGGAAGGAGGTATTTTGTTGTTGCCAAAAGTACAATATCAGCTACAATTTTTAGTTATGAAGAGTGCTCTTTTTTTTACCCATCTAGTGCCCATGCTATGGTGCTGAATAAATGTTAGTTCACCAAAGGCAATAGGCAAACAGTCATAATTTTATTACTGTGTTATTTGAGAATGCTATTAGAAAGACCTACTGTTGACCCGAATCCAGCAAAGAGTTGACAGAAATTAGTCCTGTTGCCTCTATTCTTTCATCCCAAACCAAGCCTAGGTAGACTTGACTGGCAGCTGCCCTGGGCTCTAGCATCTTTCTTTGTTAAACACATGAAAATTCTGAGAGGTCTCCTAAGATGTCAGCAAGTTAAGCGCTGGTATGAAGATGTGCATTGCGTCCTTCATCCATTCCATGACTATTAAGCCAGGTTAGCATGTAGGCAAAAAAGCTCATGGCTGAAAATAATTCCCCAGAGGTGGACACTCATCACAGTCCCCTAAAAATTACCCGCCAACAGCTCAGCATTGAGAATTACAGTTTATTGGGCCACGATAGAGCGGGTTACTACACTGTCTACAGATGATCGGATTGAATTAATGGTGCATCATGTTGAATTTTCAAGTGTCCTAGCACATGGGGTACTACTTTGTGCCATCAGAACTGAGATGTTAACAAAACATCTGTGAGCTACACCTGCGTTGTACTGGCGTAATCTGGAGCCCAGGCCTCTCAAAGTATCAGGAACATAACTTTCCTGTCTTAGTGGTTTGTCTTATGTTGTGGTGCTTCACGTCTATTAGCTGGCATTGTGCAGATTTACTGGGGTAATGAAATATGAAAGATTGAATCTAGTCCTATTTAGGGTTAAGAGTCTGTAAATCGACTGTGCTTATGGAGACCAGGAATAATTTAAACACTGCTCACATTCCAGCCTCCGCAGTAGAGATGGGTATTTTGTTTTGAGGATTTTTTTCCTTATCTCAACTGCTGTACCATTTGGCTATCTAAAGCTTTTGCATGCCTCACAAACACCATCTGTTACAACCCAAGACACAAATACTGCAAGTGATTAGTGATAGAAGCCAATGTTGCAGCTGTATGTGGTGTGGAAACCTGAGAGAACCAGAACTTCCTTTGTAAGCCTGACATGTTGAATAGGGTGTTTGTGGTTTGTCAAGCTTTTGCATTCATCAATTAAAGATTAACTTTCTGCTGCTATGGAGACATGGTAGATTAAAAAAACCCCCCAACCCAAAAAACAACACACCCCACAGCCCACCCCACCCCCCCCAACCCCCTAAACAAACAAACAAAACCCAAATCAGAAAACCCAAGTGTTCCTCATAGGAAATGTTACTGGAGCAAGTAAAGAGCCTACGACGGAGGAAGTCCCTAGCAAGGAAATGTTTCCAACTGCCACATCCGAGTACGTTGTTAGAAGAGTACGTTGCTCTTCCTAAAGTCATAAAACACTGAAAATATACATATAACAGGGACCATTCATCTCTTCTAGCCATGGGAAGATTGCAATAAATACCAATATATTTCTCCTGTTATTCAATATGTGTTTACAGTATACACCAGTTCTTCTCGAGTTCCAGTACTGTTTTTCCTCTTTGTTTTATCCTCCAGCATCAGCCTTGATTGCAGTAATGGATGAACAACTGCTTGTGCTGAAGGATACCAAATTAGAGAGGAACACCATGTGTACTCATGGGCATACATGAGAGATGAGCAGGAAAGGGGAGGAAAGCTTATATTTGGCTGCCTTCAGGGAAATTGTGTCAGTGCGTGATAATCCAGGGCATGGTTCAACCACAGAGACTGAAATTGTGAAATGGTGGGGTGAGTCCCTTTTCAATGCTGAATAAAAGAAACTGTTCAAATCAAGAACCATATCAGTTCTGTCATTGCTAATCTTCCCCTCCGTCTCTAAGCTATGCATGCCACTTTACCATCTTTAAGCATTTGGATTGCTTTAACATCATTAGTTAGGTGAATAACAAATATGAGGACAAAGTTTGAATCACCTGCTCTCCGTAAAAATCTCTGCAAAAATCTTTCCTAAGACACTCAGACCCTTATCAGGTTGTCATGCCACATAGTGCTTGTTTTGAAAAGAAGGAAGAGTTTTTATTCTAAAAAAACTTCCTGTTCACTTTATAGATTAATAGATCAAATTTGGAAGAAAGTAGGTGTATGACTTTTGCTTGTGCAGACTATTTTCCTCTGTATAAGCGCACTACTGTTCTCAAACTTGGTTTTTTTAAAATATTTTTTGTCCATGGAGACAGGGCAAGAAGTAATTGCCTTAAATTGAAGCAAAACATTTAAGATAGATATTAAGAAAAAAACCCCTTACTGATGGAAAGGACAGCAAAAGCTGGAGAGAGACTGTCAGGGAGGTTGTGATGTCTGCATCACTGGAGATCTTTGAGTAAATACTGTATTTACAGTTGAGCTCATCATGGATAGAAGGGTGAACTAAATGGCCTTCTGGGGTGTCTTCCAGTACTATGATTTTGTAAGGTTGGTGACCCAGGAGGTCTTTTCCAGTCCTGTGCTGTATGTAAGAAACGTCAGGTTCATCAATGAAGAGCAAGCACGGAACGCGGAGCTGCCTGGCTCCTGGGGTGCAATCCACTGCTGTGACCAGACCTGCCAGGGGCTTTAGCATGTACAGGAAAAGTTAAATGCCTCCCGGTGGACTCTGGATAGGGGGCTGGCTGACCAGGGAGGTACTTAGTTTAGGCAGTGGGAAAAGCTCGAGAATGAGCAAATCTTAATCCTATTTCTCTGGAGCTGTGGCAGCAAGAAGGTGTCCGTGTCAGACCAGGGTACATAGATAAGAAGTCTTCACTGTATCATGTTGTCC